AATCAGAAAATAAGCTGGGCGTGGTAGCGATGCCTGTAATTCCGGCTACTTGGAAGGCTGAGGCGGAAGGATCGCTGGAGCCCAGCAGGTCGAGGCTGCGGTGGCCCGGGAGCGGCCACTGCACTCCAGTCTGGGCGACAGAGTGAGACTCCAACTCAAAAAAAAAAAAAAATTACATATTGTAGAAATACAATAGCTTTTTGTGTATTAACTTTGTATCTTGTAACTTGTCAATTATTTTTACCAGTTTTTGGAGATTCTTTATGAATTATTTTACCTCTATCAACATGTTGAATATAAATACAGCCTTCTTATCTTTTCAGTTTGTATGCCTCTTATTTCTTCTTTTTTGCCTTCTTACTCTGGCTACTACTCCCAGTATAATGTTGAGTGAAAGTGAAGAGAACAAATGCTTTTGTCTTATTCCTGACCTTAGGAAGAAAGCATTCAGTATTATTCATTAAGCATGAAGGATGTTGGCTGTAGGCTGTTTATAAATACTCTTTATCAAATTAATGGAATTTTCTTCTGTTTTTCATTTGCTGAGAATTTTTATCATGAATGAGTATTGAATTATGTCAAGTGCTTTTTCTGCATCTGTTTAAATGATCGTATGATTTTTGCTCATTATTCTCTTAATTTGGTGAATTATACCATTTTATTTTTGAATGTTAGATGAACTTTGCAGTCTTAGCATTTTCCCTACTTGATCATGGAGTATTCTGGTTTTTGCGTATTGCTGGCTCTGATTGGTTAAAATTTTTAAAGGAATTTTGTGGTATCTTCCACTTCCTGGCAACTACTAATCTAATCTGTCTCTATGAATTTGCCTATTTTGGACAATTCATAGAAACTCAGCCATATGGTAAATGATCCTTTGGTCTGGCTTCTTTTTCTTAGCTTGATGTCTTTAAGGTTCTTCAGGTTCATCCATGCTGCAGCATGTCTTAGTACTTTATTCCTTTTTACATCTGCATGATTTGCCATTGTATGAATATAGCACATTTTGTTATCCACTCATCAGTTGATGGACATTTGGGTGGTATCTACTTTTTGGCTAATATGAGTAATACTGTTATGAACACTCAAGTACAAGTTTTTGTGTGATCATATGTTTTTATTTCTCTTGGGAAATAAATAATTCCACTTAGGAGTGGAATTACTAGGTCAATTTATTACTCTTGTGTTTAACTTTTTTTTTTTTTAAGTCAGGATCTTACTCTGGCACTCTGTTCCCCAGGCTGGAGTGCAGTGGCACAATCACAGCTCACTGCAGCCTCCAGCTCCTAGGCTCAAGTGCTCTCCTGTGTTAGTCTCCTGAGTAACTGGGACTGCAGGTGTGTACCATGACATCTGGCTAATATTTTGTAGAGGTGTAATCTCACTATGTTGTCCAGGCTGGTCTAAGAACTCCTGACCTCAAGCAATTCTCCTCCCTTGGCCTCTCAAAGAGCTGGGATTACAAGCATGAGTCACTGCACCCAGCCTTGTGTTTAACTTTTAGAGGATCTTTCAGACTGATTTTCAGAGTAGATGCATCATTTTACATTTCCACTAGAAGTGTATAAGAGTTGCTATTTTCGCTGGGCTTGGTGGCTCAGCCTGTAATCCCGCGTCTTGGGAGGTCGAGGTGAGTGAATTGCCTGAGCCTGCAGGTTCAAGACCCGCCTGGGAAACTTGGCAAGACCTCATCTCTACAATAAATCAAAAAAAAATTTAACCGGGCGTGGTAGCGCACGCCTGTAGTTTCAACTACTTGGAAGGCTGAGGCGGAAGGATCGCCGGAGCCCAGCAGGTTGAGGCTGTGGTGGCCGGGAGCAGCCACTGCACTCCAGTCTGTGTGACAGAGTGAAACTCCAACTCAAAAAAAAAAAAAAAAAAAGAGTTGCCATTTTCGAACGTGGTGGCCAAAATCCCGGCACTTTGGGAGGCTGCCTGAGCCCATAGGTTCAAGAACAACCTGAGCAACTTGGCGAGACCTCATCTCTACAATAAATCAAAAAATTAGCTGGGCATGGTAGCATGCACCTGTAGTTCCAGCTACTTTATTAGCCTGGGAAGGCTAAGGCAGAAGGATCGCCTGAGCCATCAGGTTGTTGCTAGGGTGGCCGTGAGCATGCCACTGCACTCCAGCCTGGGCAATGGAGTGAGACTCCAACTCTAAAAAATAAAAAAAGAGTTGCCATTTTCCCACATCCTCACCAAGACTATTATTATCTATCTTTTTTATTGTCTTTTTGTCTTAGTGGGTGTGAATTGGTATCTCGTGGTGGTTTTGATTTCTATATATTTATAATTCTAATTGTTCTATTTGATCCTTTTCAAATCTGGCTTCTCATTTTTTATAGTCCTATTTTTTGCTCATTTCATTTTTTTCTACATTATGTTTTTAAAAGACTTCTTACATATATATAATTATATGTGAAATACATAATTATATATAATGTTTTAAGAAATACAGCTACATATAATATATAATGGCCACTCCCGGTCACTGCAGACTCGACCTACTGGGCTCCGGCGATCCTTCCACCTCAGCCTTCCAAGTAGCTGGAACTACAGGCGTGCGCTACCATGCCCAGCTGATTTTTTTATTTATTGTAGAGATGAGGTCTTGTCAAGTTGCCCAGGTGGGTCTTGAACCCGCAGGCTCAGGCAATCCACTCACCCCGGCCTCCCAAAGTGCTGGGATTACAGGCTGAGCCACCAAGCCTGGCCTTATTTTATATTCTGTGTGTGGTAATTCTAGTAGGTGAAGTCCTTGGTGTTCTAAATCTTTTGTTGCTTTTGGCAACTTTCACTCATGGTAGTTTGTTTCTTTGTGTTTAGTGATATTTTCATGCTCAGTTTTTAATTTATTTTTGTTGTTGTTGTTGTTGTTTTGAGTTGGAATCTCATTCTGTCACCCAGACTGGAGTGCAGTGGCCGCTCCCGGCCACCGCAGCCTCGACCCGCTGGACTCCGGTGATCCTTCCGCCTCAGCCTTCCAAGTAGCCGGAATTACAGGCATGCGCTACCATGCCTGGCTGATTTTTTTATTTATTGTAGAGATGAGGTCTTGCTGCCCAGGCAGGTCTCGAACCTGCGGGCTCAGGCAGTCCACTCACCTCAGCCTCCCAAAGGTGCGGGATTACAGGCTGAGCCACCGAACCCGGCTCTTTTTTAGTTTTTATCTGACTGAACTTTGTAGAGTTCATTATTGGGAATGATGCTTTCTTTCAGAAACAGCTTGCATTTGTTTCTGGTGGTAGCCAGCAATCTTTATTAGCCTGGGAACACTTTTTAGGGTGAACATACATCCTGCTTTGCCCCAGGCAGGTTTGCCTTAAGCTTGTTGTCCCAGCAATATTATCACTAGTGCTCCCTTTCACTCTTTTTTTTTTTTTTTTGAGTTGGAGTCTCACTCTGTCGCCCAGACTGGAGTGCAGTGGCCACTTCCAGCCACCGCAGCCTCGATCCGCTGGACTCTGGCGATCCTTTCGCCTCAGCCTTCCAAGTAGCTGGAACTACAGGTGTGCGCTACCACCCCTGGCTAATTTTTTGATGTATTGTAGAGATGAGGTCTCACCAAGTTGCCCGGGTGGGTCTCGAACCCACGGGCTCAGGCAATCCACTCACCTCAGCCTCCCAAGGCGCGGGATTATAGTCTGAGCCACCGAGCCCGGCTCCCTTTGACTCTTAAAAATGCCCTGATTTGGAAAATAAATTATGTGATTACTTTAGTACATTGGCTCCTGCACAGCTCAGGAGTGTTTAGTTTGGCTTCTCCACTTAATAGTACGCAGTGTTGTTCTGGCCCAGTGTGTAGGCATTGCCCTCAGACAGACTATGTTATGGCTCCACTCGCCTCTCCTATCTGTTTGTAGTTCACTGTTTGTCCCTTGGAGAGTTCTCCCACTTTTTTGTGTGCCCAGTAATACATTAAAAGGTAAGTTTGTGATAGGTTTTCTAGAGCCTGGTTTTGTCATAGAGAGAGTACTTGTATAGTATTTATGCTACCATATTGCTGAAAATGGTTTTTTTGACGACTTGTTTTTATTTTCTTTATTAAACTGCCCTATTCTTACCATACACATATCCATCATCCTCCAAGTTTCAGCTCAGTTATGCCCCAACAGTTCCTGTTTCTTCATGCCTTTATAACATCACATACCTTCACTTCTAGTGTTTATTGTAGTCAGGACCTCACACTTCTTGGTGATTGTTGTCTTCCTTGAAGACTGTAAAGTTCTGTGATTCTTCCTTGCATTTGCATCCCAGCACAGTGCAGTATCACTCAGGAAGGGGCAACTGAGTGAGCAAACAGAAAGGACTGGCCGGAAGTAGCTTTACTCTTGCAGAACTTTCATTCATTCTTAGATGCTGGGAATCATCATTGTCTTTTTTGTATTCAGTTTTTAGTCTGAATTGATTATCATAGATTAGCTTAAAAGTTTTTTAAATTCTCATTTTATGTATTAGTTCTTATAACAAGGTAGAATGAATTGATTTCAGGGAATTGAGCTTTGCTGATTATCGCTGCTGAACTCTTTGAAGGATGAGGTTATAAATTCTAGATGAAAATCATTGTGTGTTTTAATTTGTGATCTTCCAGTCCTTTATTCATAGTCCATTTGCATTTGAATCCATCTTTACATTTTGCCCATTTTGCAGTGTTATGGTACTTTCATTGTGTAGGTGGATTGCAGAGAGTTAGGGAACAAGTTTTTCTATTCTAGTTTTCCATATGAGATTTTTTTCTATACATATTGAGGCTGATGTATCCATGGCAGTATAGATTTAAAATGTATGATTTAGTTCCATGTTTAATTTCATTTCATCTTTTATAGGTGATGCAAAAGGATCATGTATATGCTATCGAGATGGCGGGGATCCTGTCTTTAAGACAAGAAGCAAGTCTCCACTGCATAAATTTTTGTCTACACCTACACCCTGAAGTATTTAATAGCAGAATTCCTGGAAAGCAATGATCTACACTTTAAGATGATATACTCATATGAGTTACATATCCTATTTTTCAGTAATATTTATGATTAGCCATATTCATAGAAATATCCTGAAAGATGGAATTATTGTGAAAAAGTGAAGATACTTACATTTGGGGCCACAAATAAGCATTTGGATCACTTTTTTATTAATCTAAGATATTAACATGCAACCAGAGTAGTTATGGTCAGTCATGGAGAATAACCTGGAAACTTGTCCCAAAGGGGATAGTGATTTTATTTCTGATAAAATACATTTTAAAGTAGAAGAGGAAGATGATGATGATCAAATTCCCACTCACAGTTTGGAAAGAATGGACTTTAAAAGTGAGCAAGAGGACATGAAACAAACAGACAGTGGTGACGAACAAACAGGAGTCAGAGAAACCAGCTATAGTTGTAAACCCCCTGGGAAATATTTATCAACGGAGAATGAGGAGGATTATGGGTCTTTGTTCTCTCAGTACAGTAGTACACTGTATGATGTAGCAATGGAAGCTGTGACTCAGAGCCTTCTTTCCAGCCGAAACATAAGCTCCAGGAAGAAATCTCCAGCTTGGAAGCATTTTTTTATCTCTCCTCGAGATAGTACTAAAGCAATATGTATGTACTGTATGAAAGAATTTAGTAGAGGTAAAAATGAAAAAGACTTAAGTACAAGTTGTCTCATGAGACATGTAAGGCGAGCACACCCTACTGTGCTCATTCAAGAAAATGGAAGTATGTCTGCTGTGTCCTCATTTCCTTCTCCTTCACTCCTACTTCCGCCACAGCCTGCAGATGTGGGAGACCTCAGCACTATACTCTCACCCATCAAACTTGTCCAAAAAATGACATCTAAGATCCCTTCCCCTGATAGAATAACAGAAGAATCTGTGTCTATAGTCTCTTCTGAAGAAATCTCCTCCGATATGTCTGAGAAGTACAACAGAGAAGAAGCCCTGGTGGGATCATCTCCCCACCTCCCTACTCTCCATTATGATGAAACTACAGAAAGCGTAGTGGAGAAAAACCTTCCACTTCCAAAGAGTACATCTGGGTCCAGAAGACGATCCGCTGTCTGGAAGCACTTCTACCTGTCGCCTCTAGATAACTCCAAAGCTGTCTGCATTCATTGCATGAATGAGTTTAGCAGAGGAAAGAACGGGAAGGATCTGGGCACAAGCTGTCTCATCAGGCACATGTGGAGAGCACATCGCTCCATAGTGCTGCAGGAGAATGGGGGAGGCACAGGCATCCCACCCCTTTACTCTGCTCCTCCTACCCTGCTGCCTTCCTTACTGCCTCCAGAGGGGGATCTAAACTCTGTGTCATCATCTCCAGGAAAACTGGTCAAAGAGTCCCCTTCAGCTTCCTCCTCCCCTGAAAGGCTGGCTGAGGACTTACAGTCGCATTTGAACCCTGGAGATGCACTGATGGAAGACCTGTCAGTGTTGTCCTCCTCTGATGATGTTGGGGAGGCCTCAGTGTCCTCTCCTGAGAAGCAGCAGACTGATGGGTTGAGTCCTAGAATGTTTGAATCTGGCGCTGTCTTCCAGCAGAATAAAAAGGTCATGAAGAGGCTGAAGTCAGAAGTTTGGCATCATTTTTCACTGGCTCCCATGGACAGCCTTAAGGCAGTGTGCCGGTACTGCAATTGTGTCATCAGTCGGGGCAAGAAGGGTGACGTGGGCACCAGCTGTCTGATGAGACACCTGTATAGACGCCATCCGGAAGTTGTCGGAAGCCAGAAGGGCTTTCTAGGTGCAAGTTTGGCAAATTCTCCATATGCCACTTTGGCTTCTTCAGAAAGTTCCTCCTCTAGATTAACTGACTTGCCAACAATGGTCACAAAAAACAATCAAGTTATGTTTCCTGTTACTAGCAAAAAGACCTCAAAGCTGTGGAATCATTTTTCTATTTGCTCTGCAGACTCCACTAAAGTTGTGTGCTTGCACTGTGGCCGGACCATCAGCCGGGGGAAGAAACCAACTAACTTGGGCACCAGTTGTCTTCTAAGACACTTACAGAGATTCCATAGCAATGTGCTGAAAACTGACGTCTCAGAGACAGCGCGGTCCTCTTCTCCGGACATCCGTGTGCCACTGAGCACAGAATTATCAGGAGCTTCCTCCTTTGATGACACCAATGAGAAGTTTTATGATTCTCACCCAGTTGCCAAAAAAATCACAAGTCTCATAGCTGAAATGATTGCACTTGACCTTCAGCCATATTCTTTTGTAGACAATGTTGGCTTTAACAGGCTGCTTGAATACTTGAAACCTCAGTACTCCTTACCCTCCCCTTCTTACTTCTCCAGGACAGCTATCCCAGGTATGTATGATAATGTGAAACAGATAATTATGTCACATCTTAAGGAAGCTGAGAGTGGTGTGATCCACTTCACGTCTGGAATATGGATGAGTAACCAGACTCGTGAGTACTTGACCCTTACAGCTCACTGGGTCTCTTTCGAGTCATCGGCCCGACCACGTTGTGAGGACCACCATTGTTCAGCACTTTTAGACGTGTCACAGGTTGATTGTGACTACAGTGGCAGTAGCGTTCAGAAGCAGCTGGAATCTTGGTGGGAAGCCTGGGTGACCTCCATTGGCCTTCAGGTTGGTATCACAGTTACTGACAATCCTAGCATAGGAAAGACACTGAATGAGGGGGAACATTCGAGTGTGCAGTGCTTCAGCCACACAGTAAACCTGATTGTCAGTGAGGCCATTAAGAGCCAGAGGATGGTGCAGAACTTACTAAGCATTGCACGGAAGATATGTGAACGGGTACATCGGTCCCCCAAAGCAAGAGAGAAACTAGCAGAGCTGCAGAAGGAGTATGAATTGCCACAGCACCATCTTATTCAAGATGTTCCATCCAAATGGAACACATCATTTCATATGCTTGAACGACTCATTGAACAAAAAAGGGCAATTAATGAGATGTCAGTTGAGTGTAATTTCAGAGAACTGATCAGTTGTGACCAGTGGGAGGTCATGCAGTCTGTGTGTCACGCGTTGAAGCCCTTTGATGCTGCGAGTCAGGAGATGAGCACCCATGTGTCTACTTTAAGCCAAGTCATCCCCATGATCCACATCCTCACTAGGAAAATCGAGATGCTGTTTGAGGAGACAATGGGCATCGACACCATGCTGAAGTCTTTGAAGGAAGCCATGGTGAGCCGGCTGTCCGCCACTCTCCATGACCCGAGGTACGTCTTTGCTACGCTGTTGGACCCTCGTTACAAAGCCTCCCTGTTTACAGAGGAGGAGGCAGAACAGTACAAGCAAGATTTAATCAGGGAACTAGAAATACTGAATTCTACCTCAGATGACACGGCTGCCTCCAATGGGTGTGATACGGGTTCCCCATCAAAAGACTCTGCTGCAGAGGAGAACCTGTGGTCGCTCATGGCCAAGATGAAAAAGAAAGATCCGAGAGAAAAGTTACCTGAAGACATGGTGCTTGCATATTTGGAGGAGGAAGTGCTTGAACACAGCTGTGACCCGCTCACCTACTGGAACCTGAAGAAATCATCCTGGCCAGGGCTGTCAGCTTTGGCTGTCAGATTTTTGGGATGTCCCCCAAGTATCGTTCCTTCAGAAAAGCTGTTCAACACACCTACTGAGAATGGTAGCTTTGGCCAATCCAGGCTTATGATGGAACATTTTGAAAAACTTATCTTTTTGAAAGTGAACCTTCCCTTAATATACTTTCAGTATTGAAACTCATGATGGAGCCACTAGACTAGAGATGTTGCTTCTTAGACATTAGCAGTTTGTACCAGGGGCTGTGATTCGCTCTGCCCGGGGCCATGTATGACATCAGACCAGGCACTCTCAGGGCCACTTTCCAGCTCTCACTATAATGTCTACATGTGCCTTACTCCTACTCCTTCAGGCCAGGTATCACGGTGTGTTTTTTAAGAAGTCCACTAGAAATAGCTTGTCTTGTCCATTATGAAATATGAAGACTAGGTTTTAATTCTTAACTGTAAAGTTTTTAAAAAGTTTTGGGTTAGTAATTTGTTCTACTCGAATGGCAGAGAAGATGTAAACATTTTTATTCTGTAGGCTTTTTACTCAATTATGTAAAAACCACAAATCAGGTACTGTATTTTAGTTAAACATTGCTTTAATTGCAACAAAATAGCTTTTGTGGCTGTCAAATGAAATCTGTAAATAGGAGGTGGAGGTCAAGCCATCCTGACTGAACAGTTTTTAACTGCAGGCTCTAAAGTATGACAAGGAGTACAGAGAATATTCTGGAAGGTAACTGTTTACTACAACAGAGACATGGCATTTGAAAACAAAACTAAACTTACGTGTATCATGGAATGTCAGTTATGAGAACTTTCCCATTTCAGGTTTTTGTATTCAGGCTTTTCATGGTCAGTTAACTCAGAGATATCCCAACTATTTATCATCAGCTCCTTTGAAATTTGATCCAAGTTTATAAATTTATGCTCATTATTTAGTCAGTGCATAGTATGACACGTTTACAACAGATGGTCTGTTGATTAAATCTTCACACCTCTGATTTAGCATCTCTACACTCTGAAGCTATCTTTTAAAATGTGTGCACTGACCCCCTTGTTTTATCAAATTATGTGTAAAAAATTTTTTTTAGAAGAGACGGCTTATTAACAGGGAAGAAGCTGGTTATATTACAATTATAAGAATAGCCTTAGGTGTTTAGATTTTTTTTATGATAGGAAAGATTCAGCCATTGCTGGGATATTTAGAATCCCAAGGACATCAGAATGAAGTATCAGTTGTCAGATTTTTTTTTTAACAGTTACATCTTCAGAGTTTTTGCTTTAACATCTAAAGAAAGATTCACTGTCTCTTTTTAAACTAATTAAATATTCTGGGTGAGATGAATCACTCATTTGCCTATGACCTTTTAGAAAGTTGTTGTTTTGTTAAAATACTGTACCTATGCTTAATCTAAATTTGCATTGACTATGTTTTAGTGTATTTATAAATGGTGAACTCAGTTTCTGAAATTAAACTTTTTATTTGTAATTTTCTAGTGCTGGCAAACACTGGCTTTTTATTTTGAGGATAATAAAACAGGCATATTCCTTGTGGGCCAATATCTACAAACCATCCTCATGCAGCATTTGCAATTTCACCTTAACCCTATTAGATAGGACACTGGGTAAGTGGAGATAAAATTTTTTTCTTTTCTTTTCTTGTTTTTGATTTGGTGTTTTACTCTGTCGCTCAGGCTGGAGTGCAACGGCATAATCATGTCTTGCTATAGCCTTGACCTCCTGGGCTCAGGTGATCCTCCTGCCTCAGTCTCCTGAGTTGCTGGGAATATAGGCATATGCCAGCACACCCAGCTAATTTTTTTATTTTCTGTAGAGACAAGGTATTGTTATGTTGCCCAGGCTGGTCTGGAACTCCTGACCTCAAGCAATCCTCCCTTGGCCCCCCAAAATACTGGGATTACAGGTGTGAGCCACTGTGCCTGGCCACAGTATAATTCATAAAACAGCAGTTCTGATCATGTTAGTGACAATGATGAGCACTTTCCAGGTCTTACATTCAAAGTGAGTGTTGTTACAAGTGTGGTGGCAGAATGGAAGAGTCCCATAGGAAGCCCCTAGGGGTTGCCTTGGACATACCTCAGTGCATAGGCTTTGCTGTGCCTGCTTGCTTGGTAACTCTGCATTTGTTTCCTTGAGACCAGCCTATTTCCAGAGTATCTAGGAGCGCTGATCTGGGACAGTGTTTATAGAGCTGTGGAGGAGGTGGGTTCCGTGGCTCAACCATCTCCCTCACCAGCAGCTCTGACCAGACTGCTGTAGGATGGACTATGGCAGGATAGGAAGGAATGACAGATTGTTTTGCCTTGTCCATGGCTGGTTTGCAGTCCTTTCTTTCTTAAGTTTATATTTGGAATGACATCATGCTTAGAATTTGGGGATATTGAACTTCATGGATTTTCCCTCTGAAGCCAGCATAATTAACTGTGGCAGAATTGTATCCAGTTATTCGTTCAACAGAGTTGAAGTGCCCTCCTTTCTCCAGGGCCAGTTAATTTCTGGGATGCAGGAGTGATTCTGGTAGGCACAGTCACTACTCTTACCAAGCATGTAGTCTGGGCCAGGGTCGGCAAACTGCAGTTTGTTGGCCCAATCCAGCACCCTGCCTATTCTTCAAGCGAAATTTTCTTGGAATGCAGTCATGGCCATTTGTTTACATATTGTCTATGGCTGCCTTAAAGCTGTGATGACAGAATTAAGTTGTTTTTTTTTTTGAGTTGGAGTCTCACTCTGTCACTCAGACTGTAGTACAGTGGCCCCTCCCGGCCACTGCAGCCTTGACCTGCTGGGCTCCGGTGATCCTTCCGCCTCAGTCTTCCAAGTAACTGGAACTACAGGTGCACACTGTCACGCCCAGCTAATTTTTTTTATTTATTGTAGAGATGAGGTCTTGCCAAGTTGCCCAGGTGGGTCTCGAACTCATGGGCTCAGGCAATCCACTCACCTCAGCTTCCCAAAGTGCTGGGATTACAGGCTGAGCCCCCAAACCCGGCTAGAATTGAGTTTTTTTGACAGAGACCAGCACAGGGCTGAAAATATCTACTATGTGACCCTTTACAGAACAAGTTTAATGTCCCCTGAGCTAGCTTGCCTTTTAAAAAGTGTTCAATCTCATACTGCTGTTTTTTAGTTGAAGTGTTCTGAGTAACAATCAGTGCACAAAAGGAGATTAGAGAAAAAACAAGTGCTTGTTTCATTCAACAGGAAATATGGCCCTCCTTTTGAGTGATGCTAGGAAGGTTCTTTTTATCTTTTGCATTCCATTCATTTGGTTGGTGACTGTTTGTTGAGCAGGCACCATCAGGCACTGAAGAAATGGTCAGACCATCCCTGCCTTCCAATTGCTAACAGTCCTGCAGGAATACAGACAAAGAGGCCCGATGCTGGCAGTGCAGTGCATGTTGATTCTCACTGTATTTAAATGAGGGGAACTGTGGGTGCAACTAGAAAGTATGTTTATTCTCAGCCATTCAAAGCCCAGTTGTGAGCTGTTTGATTCTCTACTTCTAGATGATGTTTTCGGCAGCCTCTTCAATTTCTCAGGTCTCTTACAGATAATAAAAAGCCCTTTATACGATCCTCAGAACTGTCTCATTTTAGTGAATTAAATTACTAGTTGTTACATGAGGGACTTCAAAAAGTTCGTGGAAAAATGGAATTAAAAAGTAAAAATTTTCTCAATATAAGCTCCATCAAGGTCGAGATGCTTTTGTAAGCAGTGTTACCAGTAATTTAGGCTATTCTTAAAGAACTGAGGGTTCTGGGAATTTAACCATGTCAATGCAGTCTTTTTAACATTAGTAACTAAAGAAAAATAGGTGCCCTTTAAAGATGATTTAAGACTAGGAAAGAAAAAGAAGTCAGAAGGATCTAAATCAGGACTGTGAGGTAGATGTCTGATGATTTCCCATTGAAACTCTCGCAAAATTGCCTGTTTGATGAGAGGAAAGAGCAGGGGCATTGTGGTGAAGGTCTGTCTGGTGAAGCTTTCTTGGGCTTTTTCTGTTAAAGCTTTGGCTAACTCTTTCAAACCACTCTCATAGTTAGCAGATGTTATCATACTTTGGCCTTCCAGAAGGACAAGCAAAATGTCTTGAGCATCCCGAAGGACAGTAACCATAACCTTTTCTCTTGACTGGTCTACTTTTGCTTTTACTGGACCACTTCTATCTCTTATTGGCCATTGCTTTGATTTTGCTTTGTCTTCAGGATCATACTGATAAAGCTTCAGTGTTTTGTTTTGTTTTTTTGTTTGTTTTTTTTGAGTTGTAGTCCTACTCTGTCACCCAGTTCAGAGTGCAGTGGCACACTCACAGCCACCCCAGCATTGACCTGCTGGGCTCTGGTGATCCTTCCACCTCAGCCTTCCAAGTAGCCAGAACTATAGGTGTGCGCTACCATGCCCAGCTAATTTTATATTTATTGTAGAGATGAGGTCTTACCAAGTTGCCTGGGCTGGTCTCGAACCCACGGGCTCAGGCAATTCACTCGCCTCAGCCTCCCAAAGTGCTGGGATTACAGGCTGAGCCACCAAGCCCTGCCCAAAGCTTCAGTGTTTCACTTCCTATTACGATTCTTCAAAGAAGTACTTCAGGATCTTGATCCCACTTGTTTAAAGTTTTCATGGAAAACTCTATTCTTGTCTGCACAATGGTTTTGGCACCTATCAAGTAGAAAGCTTGCTCAGCTTTAATTTTTCATTCAGAGTTGTGTAAGCTGAACCAATTGAGATGTCCGTGTTGTTGGCTATTGTTTTTGCTGTTGGCTATTGTTTAGTCCTTTCAGTTACGGCACAAATGAAATTAATTTTTTCCTTGCAAACTGATGTGGTCTGCCACTATGGGCTTCATCTTTGACATCTTCTTATCCCTTCTTAAAACAAGGTATCCATTTTTGGGGGGCATTGTCCACATAAGCTTTTCATAAAGTATCAGTGATTTCACCATTCTTCCACCCAGGCATCACCATAAATTTAACGTTAGTTTTTGCTTATTTTAGCAGAATTCATGTGGCTCTGGTAGCTCTTTTCAAACTGATGTCTTATCCTTATCACCTCAAACTAGATCCTGTAATAACAAGTTAGTATGAACTTATTTTGGTGCAAAAGAATTTTGAAATCCATGCGTAATTTTTTCATAATAGCATTTTCCATGAACTTTTTGAAGACGTTTTGTATAATAATAGAACACTGAACTTTATTTAAAACTTAATTAAAATTTCCTTTCCTTCCACTTCTGATTATGAGGCAGCAGCTGGTATCAGACCAACTCTCTCTCAAGAACTATCAAGGGCATATAAAAATTTTGTTAAAGAGACATCAGAGAGCAATCAAGGCAGCTAGGATTTGAGGAAACAAAATCCTAGTGAGAAGACACTTGCATAAAGGTGAGTACCATAGTCACAACATTTTTTGCTGTTGTAACACTTGCTGGTATCCTGTTGTAAGACCTTACAGAAGGCATAACCAGAGCTGGCAGTGGTGTCAGCTAGGGAGACCACAGTGACATTTAAGCTGTTGTGATGGCCGGGACATTAGGAGCCAAGACTGGAGATGATGACAACCTCAGAGAAGTGAGTCAATGTCCTGTGTCCTTCTGCTGAGGCAGGTGTCAGTTCCTGGTGGGCTGCTCATGTACAGGTCAAGAGGTCTGGAACCAAAAACATTAACGAGGCCGAAAAGCTAAGAAAACATCCTGGTGCATGGGAGACAATCTTGGAGTTTAATGCCTGCCACTGAGAAAACCTCAGGGTTTCCAGGTGAGATTCCTGGAGGGCAAACTGGAGAAAGACCAGCCCTCAACAAGCCTAGACATAGCTCAGGTCATCTCAACCTTGATTGCGTCAGGGTGACCTGCCTTATCCCAGCTTTCTGACACAGAAAACTTAATTTTCTTTCAATGAAAATACCAGGCTGAGCACAGTGGCTCATGCCTATAATCCCAGCACTTTGGGAGGCCAAGGTGAGAGGGTTGCCGGAGCCCATGGGTTTGAGACCAGCCCAAGCAACTTGGCAAGACCTCATCTCTACAATAAATCAAAAATTGGCCGGGTGTGGTGGTGCGTGCCTGTAGTTGTAGCTACTTGGAAGGCTGAGGTCACCGGTAGCGTGCCTCTGCACACTTCAGCCTGGGTAACAGAGTGAGACTCCAACTCAAAAAGAAAAAACTATCAGAGCTGCTGTAACTTTGTTAACAAAAAGTATCAGGCACTTAAAAAAAAAAAAAAAGGACAGAATGACCAAAAGGTAAGAGAATAAGAGACAACAGAAATAGATTCACAAGTGATGCAAATACTCGAGTTTTCCCACATGGAGTTTATTATTAATACGTTCAGTAATATGGTTTAAAAGATAATATCACCAGAGTGTGAGTATCTATAAATATTCTAAAACTAAAAACTGCAATGACAAATAAGTACAATAAATTGACAATATCAAATTAGATATAGGCGAGATTAC